GGGATTGAACTCAAGCCCTTACGCTTTCCAGGGAAGCACTTACTCTACTGAGTCATCTCCCCGGCCCCCTTTTTGTGTATGTGTGTGTGTGTTTGAGACATAATACGTTCTTGTTATCTGGAATCACCCTCTACTGTTCAGTAGCGCACTAGGGTGCTTCTATCTATCTTTCTTAAGATGCGTATATCTGCTTTGCCTCATCCTTCCCTCCCCACTTACTCTTCTTAGGCTCTGGTAATCACAGGTCAGCTCTGAACTGCTGTGAAGTCAACTTTTAAAAATTCTACATTTAAGTCCTTCTGTGGTTAGTTTATTTCATTTAACATGATGTCCAGTTCCATCTTGTTGTGGAAAAATTTTAAATTTCAGGGTTTTTTAATAGCTGAAATTATTTTCATATATATTTCCTTTTTCTTTTTCCCCTCTTAATATTGGGAGTGAACTTAGGACCTTCACATACATTCCCAGTCCTTTTTAAATTGTTTTATTTTGGGACAAGAGTTTGCTAACTTGCTCAGGCTGGGTTGGAATTTGCGATCCTTCTTTCTTAAGGTCTTCAAGTGCTGAGATTATACAATGAGCCCCCACACCTGGCTTGTACTGTATGTTTATTATCTAGTCATTAGTTGATGGGCACTTTTGTTGCTTGGCTATTGTGAATAGTGCTATAGTAACTGTCAGTGTGAGCATTGGCATTTCTATTTTTAGCAGCAAATTTATCTATTTTTCTAAGACAGGGTTTTTCTGGCCTCCAGTTCACTGTCTGTGTATCCCAGGCTGGCCTTAAGCTTGCACAGATTTGCCTGCCTCTGCCTCCCAAGTGCTAGGATCACAGGCGAGAGCCACTTGTGATCCTATACCTGCCTGTAAGAATAAATTCTGTCATCAGTTCTGTTGGATTTCAGAAGCAGAAATACATATAAAATTTCATTATGACAAAGGTATCTTAAGAATATTCAAAATTATTTTTGGCTCTGTAAAATGTTTTGTATTTCTCTGAGGTTATTGTGAGTTTGAGATAAAAATTATACACAAAACTTAATGATATTTTATTTTTCCTAATTAGAATGTGACATCATCTCCTCAATATTCTACATTCCTGGAACATATCATCCCTCGATTTCTTACATTTCTCCAAGATGGAGAAGTCCAGTTTCTTCAAGAGAAACCAGCCCAGGTAATCTGTTCGAAAGAATCTGTGAGAGAGAAATCCCATGCTGTTGGGTTGCAAGCATTTATGAAGTAAGACAACTCAGAAAACTTAACAGTACCATTTAAAAATGAACGCAAGATGGATGTGGTGGTGTAGGCCTGTACCAGCTACTCTGGGATCTAAGCAAGAGAATGACAAATTAAGAGGCCATCCTGGGTAATTTCATTTAACACTTTAATTTTTTTTTGAGATAGGATCTCACTTTGTAGTCCAGGCTGGCCTCAAACTTGTGGCAATCCCCTTGCCTCAGCCTCCCAATATATCTGGGATTACTCAGCAGGTAATTTACATACTTAGCAAGACCTTGTCTCAAGAAAGAAAAAGGAGGGGCTGGTAAGATGGCTCAGTGGTCTAAAGCACCTACTTAG